CGCCGAGGCCCCCTGGTCCATTTTTTCAGGGCGGGGCCGGTGGTTCGTTTTCCCCGGGACAATCGGCCGCCAAGCGTAGGGGTTTTTGCTGGCAGTTCCAGGAGGGCACTTGTCATTTTGGCGGGTCCTGCCGGTTTAGGCACGAGTGTTCCGGGTGCGGTGGATCCCACCCTTTCTCACGCTGCTTCAGGCGGGGTAGAGGCCCTCCCGGAGAGCCTGCGGGTAAGAGGGACGACGCCGGTGCGAGTGGAAAGGATGGGGCCTTTCTTAAATAGGTATCCTGATCGGGCTGCGGCGGTCCTGCTGGCGGCAGGTTTTTCGGAGGGTTTTCGCATCCCCTGTACTTTGACTTTGGTCCCCCCATTAGCTCGGAATTTGCGTTCGGCCTTGCAGCATGCTGAGGTGGTTTCGGCTAAGTTGCGGAAGGAAGTGGGGTTAGGTCGTATGGGTGGTCCGTTTGCTTGTGCTCCGTTTGCGGATCTGGTAGTTTCTCCCTTGGGGGTGATGCCTAAGAAAGAGCCGAATGCGTTTCGGTTAATTCACCACCTGTCCTTCCCTAAGGGGGGGTCGGTGAATGACGCTATAGATCTGCAGTCGTGTTCAGTGTCTTACACGTCCTTTGATGCGGCAGTGTTCTGGTTCGTCGTTATGGGCGCGCGGGTGCACTCATGGCGAAGTCCGACATTGAGTCGGCGTTCCGGCTGTTGCCGGTTCATCCGGACAGTTTTCGTTTTTTGGGTTGCCGTTGGCAGGGCGCGTTTTACGTTGATAGGTGTTTGCCCATGGGGTGTTCTATCTCTTGTGCGTTGTTTGAAAAGTTCAGTTCGTTCGTGGAGTGGGTGGTTCGGGATGTTTCGGGGGTGAATTCGGTCATCCATTATTTGGATGATTTTCTTTGCGTGGGTCCGCCGGCTTCTGGGGTGTGCGCGGTCTTGCTTGCTTGCAGTTGCTGAACGTTTCAGGATTCCTTTGGCGGCTGATAAGACGGAGGGTCCGGCTTCGGTGATGACTTTCTTGGGCATCGTTTTGGATTCTGGCGCCATGGAGTGCCGGCTGCCTGCAGAGAAGCTGTTGGCCCTTCAGGGTGAGATTTGCGCGGTTCAGGGGAAGCGAAAAATTCAGCTGCGGCCCTTGCAGTCATTGTTGGGCAAAACTTAATTTCGCTTGTCGGATCCTGCCGATGGGTCGGGTGTTCTGCCGCCGGTTGGCGGCGGCGACGGCGGGAATTGCCTCCCCTTTTCATTTCATTCGGCTGACTCGGGAGCATCGGGAGGATTTGCAGTTGTGGCACACCTTTTTGGATTCTTTCAACGGGCGGGCACTTTGGATGTCTGGCCCGGTTAGTAATTTTGACTTGGAACTGTTCACGGACGCGGCGGCTTCTGCGGGATACGGGGCCTTTTTTCGGGGTCGGTGGAGTGCGGCATCGTGGCCGGCTTCCTGGCGGGAGGCAGGTTTTCTCAGTAACTTAGCGCTGTTGGAACTTTTTCCAGTGGTATTGGCGGTGGAAGTTTGGGGGGAGAATTTTCGGGATCAAAAGGTGCGTTTTCACTGTGACAATTTGGGGGTGGTTCAGGTCATCAATAGGGTCTCGGCTTCTTCCCGACCGGTGGTGGCCTTGCTTCGCCACTTGGTGTTACGTTGCTTGCAGCTGAATGTTTTTCTCCATGCGGTACATCTCCCTGGGGTTGACAACACCTTAGCTGACGCTTTGTCTCGTTTTCAGTGGGACAAATTCCGAGAGTTGGCGCCGGCGGCGGAGCAACACGGGGTTCCTTGTCCCGACTGGCTGTGGGAGATTGCCTTGGAGTCGTTGCGGGCTGGATCCGGCGGTCGGTGAGTGAGGCGACTTGGTCCGCTTACTCTACGGTCTGGCGGGAGTGGATGGATCTGTTGCGATTGGTCGCTATTGATCCCTGGGGGCCGGAGGTGCGTGTGGCAGTGTTGTACTTCTTGGCGCGGAGTTTGGAGCGGGGGGGGTGTCGGCGTCCGCGGTGGATCGCCGACTGGCGGGATTGGCGTTTTTCTTTAAGTTACAAGGGTGTCGGGATTTCACTAAAGATTTTTGGGTCTGGCAGGCTCTGCGGGGTTATCGGAGGGCTCATCGTTGTAGGGATTCTCGTCAACCTGTGTCGTTTGAGTTGTTGGGGTCGTTGTTTGAGCATTTGCGGACTGTGTGTTCTTCGGATTTTGAGGTGGTTTTATTTCGGGCTGCCTTTGCGGTGGCCTTTTTTGGGGCGTTGCGGATTGGGGAGCTCGTTAGTCCGTCCAAGTCGGTTCTTGGGGGGGTTGTTGGTGGAGGAGGTTGTGTGCTCCGGGAATGGGTGGAGGTGCTTGTCCGTCGGTCTAAGACGGATCAATTGAGCAGGGGTGCGAAGGTGCGTTTTTTTTTCGCTCTTCCGGGTTCACTGGTGTGCCCGGTTCAGGCGGTTCGGGAATTTTTGTCCCGTCGCCCTGGGGGGCGGGGGTCCTTTTTCAAGCACATTGATGGATCCCCTTTAACGCGTTTTCAATTTGTGGCAGTTTTTCGCCGGTGTTTGACGGCTGCTGGTTTAGATGCGTCTTTGTATGCTTCGCACTCGTTTCGGATCGGGGCTGCTACGGAGGCGGCCAGGTGGGTGCTGTCGGATGATGTGGTGAAGCGCATTGGTAGGTGGGATTCCCAGAGATTTCGCCTGTACGTTCGGCCGCATTTGTTGCGGGCTTAGTGGGCGGTCCTGTGTTTTTGGTTTGTTTGGGTTGTGGGAGGTAGTTGCGGTTCTGTCCCTGTGCTGTATTGTTCTGGCGGTATTGTTTCTTTTCTTTCAGGTGGAGAGGTGTGCCTGGTGTGGATCCTGGGTCACTCGTATGTGTTTTGGGGGGCCAGGCGGGCTGATGTTCGGCCCAATGGCAGGCAGCTGGGGTTGGATAGAAGGGAGGTTTGTGTCCGCTGGTTAGGTGTTCCGGGCATGTTGTGGAGTCGTGTCGTGCCCGAGGTGCGGCGTTTTGCGCAGCTGGATAGATCGCCGGATGTGTTGGTGATTCATGCGGGTGGCAACGATTTGGGGGGTAGGTCCATGCGGGAGCTGGTTCGAGATGTCAAGCTGGATTTTCTTCAGTTGCGGCGGGAGTTTCCGGGGATGGTGGTGGTGTGGTCTGACATGGTCGCCCGAGCTTCTTGGCGCTGGCGCGGTCGGTGGAGCGGCTCAACAAGGCCAGGATTAAGGTCAACCGGGAGGTGGGGCGCTTTTTTAGTCGCAATGGAGGGTTGGTGGTCCGGCATGTGGAGTTGGAGGTGGATACTTGGCGGTATCTTCGCAGTGATGGAGTGCATTTGAATGCGGTGGGCATGGATTTGTGGTCCCTGGAGCTGCAGGACGGCATACTACGGGCGGTTCGTTTGTGGCGTGGCACGCATGGGTAAGGGCTTACCCAGCGTGCTGTGGCGGTTGTTGGTCTTTGGAGGCGGTTCTCATCTTGGAAGGTAATACAATGGTGTGGGACCCCATCTGTGGTATGGGGGGCCCGGTGGATATTCCCAGTTAACCAAGGTTTAACTGGAAGGTGGTGGTGCTGCACTGCGGACGGTATGGTTGTCTCCGAGCTGGTTGGTTGCGGCTGGAGGCCTAGTGTATAGGGTTGTCCGCAGGTGCATTTTGGATCGTTTGTGGGTGCCTTTGAAGACCAACAACAATTCTTTGGTTTTCCGTTAAGGAACGGTTGATGTATGTTAAAATGTGAAGTTGTTAATAAAAGGCCATGTTGGCCATTTACTCCAAATGGTGTCATGTTTTTTGTAAAGTTTAGTTGGTTAAGGGGGTGTGGAGTGGTATGGATAGGTAATGGTGGAAGTAGGAGTGGACAAGCCTATCTATGGTGCATTAGTCAAGAAATGCCCGTAGCGAATAGGGAAGAATGGAAATAGCGCAGGGCATACATGACTAGGCCCAGAGTGGTGTAGGGAACGGAAGGGGTTAAATTTAGCTCCAGGGGGTGGGGAATTGATTGGGAATTATATTATTGGCAGATGTGGAGTGTAGGAGGGGTCTGTGGTACCTTAGGGTGGGGGGTTCTGCGGAAGGGGCGTCAGTGGAGCAGGACGTGGCGAGGACCAGAGCTTCCCTCCCGCCCTCCCTGTTTTTGGTTAGGTATAGGGTCTTGTCCGGGGGCAGGTGAGTTAGATAGCGATAGCGAAACATAACACGACCACAAGAACAAAATGGACACCAGTTGGCAGGGGGGTTTTTTCGTTGGTTCTTGGGCGGTTGTTGGTCTTTGGAGGCGGTTCTCATCTTGGAAGGTAATACAATGGTGTGGGACCCCATCCGTGGTATGGGGGGCCCGGTGGATATTCCCAGTTAACCAAGGTTTAACTGGAAGGTGGTGGTGCTGCACTGCGGACGGTATGGTTGTCTCCGAGCTGGTGGTTGGTTGCGGCTGGAGGCCTAGTGTATAGGGTTGTCCGCAGGTGCATTTTGGATTGTTTGTGGGTGCCTTTGAAGACCAACAACAATTCTTTGGTTTTCCGTTAAGGAACGGTTGATGTATGCTAAAATGTGAAGTTGTTAATAAAAGGCCATGTTGGCCATTTACTCCAAATGGTGTCATGTTTTTTGTAAAGTTTAGTTGGTTAAGGGGGGTGTGGAGGGGTATGGATAGGTAATGGTGGAAGTAGAAGTGGACAAGCCTATCTATGGTGCATTAGTCATGTGGAGTTACTGGCTCCGGTCCCAGTCCCACAACGATCCAGTCCAGGAAGCGCTGCTCCTTCATTTACTCCGGCAACTCCCTCACTCCTGTGGCTCGGCTCCGCCTCCTCAACGGTGATTGGGAGCCAGAACTGTAGCTCAGGAAAGGCACACAGGCGGTCAATCACCTGCGAGGAGGCGGAGCTGAGCGGCCCCGCGAACATCGAGTGAGGGAGATGCCAGAGTGAAGAAGGACAGCTGACAGGTAAGTGTGCCATGCTGATGGTGCTGCTGCAACCAGGTATGCTGGCTGCAACAGTTCCATGCTGAAACGGGGTCAGCAAGTTACATGTCATTGGTGTCAGTGGGAGGAATAGTGCCCCATCATTGGTATCAGTGGGAGGAATAGTGCCCCATCATTGGTATCAGTGGGAGGAATAGTGCCCCATCATTGGTGTCACTGATACTAATGATGGGGCATTATTCTTCCCACTGACACCAATGATGGGCACTATTCCTCCCCACTGACAGCAACAATGGAACACTATTCCTCCCACTGACACCAATGTTGGGGCACTATTCCTCCCACTGACACCAATGATGGGGCACTATTCCTCCCCACTGACAGCAACGATGGAACACTATTCCTCCCACTGATACCAAGGATGGGGAACTATTCCCCTCCACTGACACCAATGACGTACTATTCCTCCCACTGACACCAATGATGGGACACTATTCCTCCCACTGACACCAATGTTGGGGCACTATCCCCCCTACTGACACCAATGACGGGGCACTATTCCCCTCCACTGACACCAATGACGTACTATTCCTCCCACTGATACCAAAGATGGGGCACTATTCCTCCCACTGACACCAATGATGGGGCACTATTCCCCCCCACTGACACCAATGATGGGGCACTATTCCCCCCCACTGACACCAATGATGGGGCACTATTCCTCCCACTGATACCAATGATGTGGCACTATTCCTCCCACTGACACCAATGATGGGGCACTATTCCCCCCCACTGACACCAATGATGGGGCACTATTCCTCCCACTGATACCAATGATGGGGCACTATTCCTCCCACTGACACCAATGATGGGACACTATTCCTCCCACTGTCACACCAATGATGGGACACTATTCCTCCCACTGTCACCAATGTTGGGGACACTATCCCCTTCCCCCACTGGCACCAATGACAGGGCACTATATTCCCCCCCCCCCACTGACACCAATGATGGGGCACTATTCCTCCCCCCCACTGACACCAATGACTATTCCTCCCCCCACTGACACTATGGGCACTATTCCCCCCCTGACACCAATGATGGGGCACTATTCCCCCTGACACCCCAATGATGGGGCACTTTCCTCCCCCCACTGACACCAATGATGGGGCACTATTCCTCCCCCCACTGACACCAATAATGGGGCACTATTCCTCCCCCCACTGACACTAATGATGGTGCACTATTTCTCCCACTGACACCAATGATGGGGCACGATTCTTCCCCACTGACACCAATGATGGGGCACTTTTCCTCCCACTGACACCAATGATGGGGCACTATTCCTCCCCCCACTGACACCAATAATGGGGCACTATTCCTCCCACCACTGACACTAATGATGGTGCACTATTCTCCCCACTGACACCAATGATGGGGCACGATTCTTCCCACTGACACCAATGATGGGGCACTTTTCCCCACTGACACCAATGATGGGGCACTATTCCTCCCACTGACACCAATGATAGGGCATGTTTCTTCCCACTGACACCAATGATGGGGCCCTATTCCTCCCACTGACACCAATGATGGGGCACTATTTCGCTCCATAAGACACACTTGGGGGGAAATGTCTGTGCGTCTTATGGAGCGGCCGGCTCAGTATTCCCGCCGCCATTGTATGTCCGCAGTCTCTGGTCATCTCCTGTACTGTGCATTTGTTCATAGTTTTTTTTTTTTTTTTTTTTTTTTAACTATAGTCCGGCCCTCCAACGGTCTGAGGGACAGTGAACTGACCCCCTGTTTAAAAAGTTTGAGGACCCCTGCTGTAAACTAACTGTAATTTAGTAGTAAACATTTAGTACAGATTACAGGCATGTCAGTGGATTCAGAGAGCACATTAATCTTAAAATAAGAAAGCAAAGCAGAAGTGTTGGCCTTCAGACTATTTATCTAATTGAAACCCAAATGATCCATCAGAACATAACAGGCGGAGAGGGGGGAGGAGTAGGGGGAAGGGTTATTGCTCTTTTTTGTTAATCAATGCTTCAGCTATTGGGACCTATAAACAGATTTTTTTAACACATTAGGTTTCTGTGATCTGTGTCCTTGGGGATGATTTTTACCTGTCAGCTACAGCATTTCTCATTTCAGACACTATACTACTTTCAATATTCACCCCATATCTCCCGAGGAAACAACATTGTGCAAAATGCATTGGGGAAGTGTTCAAGTTTTCATAGAATAACATGGGTAATGAATAGCATAGTATATTCACTGTATTTCTATGAGATAAATTGAATTCTTGGCAATGCGAAGAAATAGAGGTGATAATAGTACCCCTGTATTTGAGGACATAGGTAAGATTGTTTCCCACATTTATTCTTTACATGTGCTGTAGCTAATGCATTTTTTTTATATATACATATAATTTTTAACTTGTATCACAAAAACAATTGCTTTATGTATTAATACTATCTCAGTTGCACCTTAAAAGTTCCATCCACTTGTGTTTTTTTGGTCTCTCATAACATTTTTAGATGGGGATTTAGATTGCATGGTTAGTTTACCATGAACCATTAACCATTAGCACAGGAACCAAGTTATATGAAAATAATGTTGAGAAACTGTTTTTTTTTTAAATTTAGAATATCTGAAAACATTTTGGAGAACTTGAAAAAATCATGATATATCCTGAACAGACTGATATCTATTATAGTCTGGCGTTACAAGCTTTCACATTTCTCTGCCCCAGAAGAGCTACAGTATGTTCCATTGCTACCTTCATTAATCTGCCATTAAGTGGCACTGATTGCAAAGGATACTGGAGCTTCTCAACTGCATCTTCATCAATGGTTCCTCGGCTGTTGTAGACCAGGACGCTGCTCAGCAAGACAGACAGACAAAAAATCTTCAGGTCATTTTTCTTGTCTCCCTGTAAAACAACAATGTCCCCAGGTTACTTGGAGTTTACTGTTTGTGGGGGGGGGGGGGTGCAGCGGCAGTAGTGACACAGAGTCCAGTTGCAGATAACTCAAAACTTGCATTGCAGAGAATACTCAATTACAAACAACCCCAGAAGGAGAGCACAGCTTCGGGTAGGACTCACAGTTCTGTTCAATGCAGAGAAGCAGCAAGTAAAGATACTCCGACAGTGTCTGTCTTCAGAGGGCAGAATGTGCCCGGTCTGGCTGGTCTGGTCCCAATGCAGGACTGCATTTCCTTAATCTGTCCCTACTCATCAGGAACCCTTCCCTACCCCTAGCGCTTTATCTGACAGATGGGTTCTCTTTCCCTACTCTAACCACTTCGCAAATGTGTGCCAAAACCTTGGGGCATGGACTTACAAAGACTCTGCGGACCCAAGATAGCCACCAGGGGTCACTTGGATGCAGCATAGCCAGCTCCTTCAGGGAACTGGAAACCATAGAGCAGTGGCCTCCAAACCGTGGCCCTTTGCTAGCCTTTATCCAGACCTAGAGGCATTATTCCTAACACTGACACCAAAAGTGGGGCATAATTCCCCTAACTGACACCAACAATGGGACACTATTCTTCCCACTAATCTCAATGATGGGGCCCAATGCCATCCACTAACATCAATGATGGGCCAATATTCCTTCCAGTGATAGCAATGATGGGGCACTACACCTCCTGCTGACCACAGGCACTATGCAACTGAACACCACACCTGAGACCTTGTTTACTGTCCCACTAACGTTGGGCCTGAGACATTTTATACCCCCGCTGGCCACAATCCGGCCCACCCTAAAATCTACAGTAAACTGGCCCTTTGTTTGGAAAGTTTGGAGACCCCTGCGACAGAGAAACCAGGTTTCATCTAACTTTCATCTAACTTCCTCTCCAGGGGCCACCTACAGTGGAAAGAGCAGCACCTGCCTACAAGCTCATGTGTTAAGGATGAAAAATTAAAGCTTGCATATTAATTATTATACAGGATCTATATGGCTCAATAATATGCTATACAATAAATCCTCAAAAATTATGTGCAGTGACGGGGAAGTGACGGCAACGCGCACACGGGAACCAGAGGTTGTCCGGCGGCCATCTTGGATGAGGGAAACGACCAACTGATTTCCCCTGGGCACTTCCTGGATGACAGTAAAACCACTTCTGAGTATTTAAAAGCGTTTTTTAAGCTGATAAAATGTGAGCATTCTAATTAAAGTTGATTTTAAGATTGATTCTGGCAGTATCACACTATTGTGTCCCTTATATATTCATATTTATATGAAACATGCTTGATGTGGATATATGGAGTCTCAAGGCTTTTGGATCCTGATGTTATTATGAAAGGCAGACTATACTGGGTAAAGATCCATAGGAGGACTGTCTCCCACCTTCCTTTTGGAAAGATATAAAAAAGCGTCTGTTTTTTCTGAATATTGGTAAGGGTATGCATTCCTTACTGCACTTAGAAGTGTCACAGTGCTGGTTGGAATAGAGCACTGAAGAGTGATTCACATTCACAGTGGTTTCTATTGTTTTGGCTTCACAGTTTTTTTTCACTTTGATCACTTTTTCACTGATTATTAATGTGATTGGGTATTCACCTGAATGAAGTCACTATTATTTATTTAGTTTTAAAAAAAAGATAATGCACTATGTGAATATTTTTTTCTTTTTGAGGTATATTATTGGAGGAATTTTTTGAAAGGTTTTTGAACACGAAAAGAACTTGATTCAAACTTTGGACTTATAGGGTTTGGACTGCACATAATTTTTGAGGATTTATTGTATAGTATCTTCTGTTTATTGATTTTTATACATCTTTTGGGGTGAAGGTCTTGATGGTGCTGTGGGGAATTGGATTTATTTAGGTTGTTTATTAAGAGAGTGGTTTTGATTTTATTAGGATTTATATGGCGCCAACAGTTTGCTCAGCGCTTTACAATATAACGGGAGACAATACAGCAACAATACAGTTCAATACAAGAGGGAAAGGAGGGCCTGATCCTGGGAGCTTACAGTCTTAGATAGGGCTTTGGTAATTGGAACACTACGTCTCTTCAAATGAACTCAGAGTTCTTCACAACCTTTGGGTCATTCCACTGTTTATAATATAAATATCAAGAAAATGAATTTCTGATTTTCATTGACCTGTATATTTTATTTTGGTGCCTTCCTTTTAACTAATTGTTTCTAAAACCTGTGTTGAGACAGTTGTTTAAATACACACATACTGTATATCTGAG